TGTGGTTGTGTGGTTGTGTGGTTGTGTGGTTGTGTGGTTGTGTGGTTGTGTGGTTGTGTGGTTGTGTGGTTGTGTGGTTGTGTGGGTGTGTGGTTGTGTGGTTGTGTGGTTGTGTGGTTGTGTGGTTGTGTGGTTGTGTGGTTGTGTGGTTGTGTGGTTGTGTGGTTGTGTGGTTGCGTGGTTGCGTGGTTGTGTGGTTGTGTGGTTGCGTGGTTGTGTGGTTGCGTGGTTGTGTGGTTGTGTGGTTGCGTGGTTGTGTGGTTGTGTGGTTGTGTGGTTGTGTGGTTGTGTGGTTGTGTGGTTGTGTGGTTGTGTGGTTGTGTGGTTGTGTGGTTGTGTGGTTGTGTGGTTGTGTGGTTGTGTGGTTGTGTGGTTGTGTGGTTGTGTGGTTGTGTGGTTGTGTGGGTGTGTGGTTGTGTGGGTGTGTGGGTGTGTGGGTGTGTGGGTGTGTGGGTGTGTGGGTGTGTGGGTGTGTGGGTGTGTGGGTGTGTGGGTGTGTGGAAGTGTGGGTGTGTGGAAGTGTGGGTGTGTGAAGTGTGGGTGTGTGAAGTGTGGGTGTGTGAAGTGTGGGTGTGTGGGTGTGTGGGTGTGTGGGAGTGTGGGTGTGGGGGTGTGTGGGTGTGGGGGTGTGTGGGTGTGTGGGTGTGTGGGTGTGTGGGTGTGTGGGTGTGTGGGTGTGTGGGTGTGTGGGTGTGTGTGTGTGTGTGTGTGTGTCTGTGTGTGTCTGTGTGTCTGTCTGTGTGTCTGTGTGTCTGTGTGTCTGTCTGTCTGTCTGTCTGTCTGTCTGTCTGTCTGTCTGTCTGTCTGTCTGTCTGTGTCTGTTTATCTGTCTCGCGACTACCGGCTACGAGAGCCTGATTCGCTGCAACATATCCTGGCTCGACCCTGGTTTTTCCTTCCGACGCCTCGTCCTGACGCTGCGAGACCTGCTTGACGAGATCATCAGCGATGTCCTCTGGCATGTAGATAACCTGCTGTCGCTCAACAACGAATTGCTTGCTGAATTCTAGATTTTGGCATGCGTCAGTGATGCAATTACCTGTCAGCGCCTGAACACCAGCACAAACTAGCAGGGCCTCCAGCACGTCGGACGACCATGGAACTCTCTGAATCGCACTCGTGCTGCACACACGCTGGACAGTTGGTTGTGCTTTGCAGGCCTCGAGAATCGCTGGCATCGATTCCAATGCTTGTGCATCCAGATAGACGCAGCTTCCGAAGCCATCAGCTACCTGGAGTTCTCTTGTTGCTGTCACTGCGCAGCAGGAGCTGCTCAGCAGGTTTTCCTCCAGTACACCAAGCCTTAACTTCAATCCCAGGACTGCGAGCTACAGGGATGCCGTGTCATGGCTATTGAACACAGATGTTGAAGAGAGAATCTGATCTGCATCCCGGTGCCAACTATAGGACAACTGTGTACACGAGCTCAGATGTCGTGCTTTAGCCAAACTGTCAATGCAGAGTGATGCCTCCTGCCATACCGTCGCCTGCTCCGAGTATTGCCGCAAGGCCGAAGGCAGCGTCTGTTCCAAGTTGGCATGGAGAAGTGCGGCGTGCGGCATGTTTTGTTTGCCAGAGCCTGAGCCGCCTGAGCCAAGTGCCAAACGCAGCTGAAGGCCGTCTCTTCCACCGGCTCCGGAACATCCTTGCTTCATTCAGGAAGCATTCTGCAATGCCGTCCGCCAAATAGCCTTAGGCGGCAGCCAGACCATAGTCCTGAACCAACTTTGCATCTGGCCTAACGAGGTGGGATTGAGCGGAAATCAATTATACAGACTCGAAGTACGCGTGAAGTACCCACCTGCGTGCTCGGAGCAGTTCGGCTCCAATGTGAGCATCAGCCTCCAAACATCTGAAAAGCTTAGACGGCCACATGTGTGACCGGCGGATCTGACCTCGCGGAAAGGATTCACAAAGGTCGTCAGCCAGCCGTCCTGACTTTGATACAATAGATTTGTTTACTTCAACGTCCGCATGCTGCAAGTAATTTATTGCGCGCAAAAGCTACCGATCGCATTGGTACTGCTACAAAAGGCCACCACCCAGGATCCACCTCCCTCTTTGCTCTCCTTGCCTTTGTGCCACTAAGTATAGACATCGGTATTTCAGATACTTTCTATCTAATGCATTGGTGGATTTGTTTCTAGATGTAGAGTTTCTTTGATTCACTCGCACGCACATACAAACTCACTCACCCAACATCTCCTTTTGTGGGTTTAGGGTTTGCCCACCCAACATCTTCTTTTGGGGTTGAGGGCTTGCTTGCCCAACCTCTTTTACGGTTTAGCGTATCTCAGTCGAGGTCTTAGGTTTAGGGTTTGCCCACCCCACATCTTCCTTCGGTTTAGGGTTGCGGTTTAGGGTTGCTTCGCTAGGCTCTTTCAGCTAGGGTTCTAGGGTTTGCCGACCCAACAACTTCTTTTAGGGTTTATGGTTTGCCCTTTTCTTTTCGGTTGACGGTTTCTTCTTTGGAGTTTAGGAGCCTCCCCGCCCCATATCTTTGCCACCCAGCATCACCCAACATCTTCCTTGAGGGTTTACGGGTTTCTGATTTGGGCTTCAGGGTTCTTTTTGGGTTTAGGGATTGCCCTCTTCTTTTAGGGTTTAGTTCTGATTTGCCGTGTCGTTGCTTGGCCATCGACCTGTGACTATGGCGCGCGCCCACTACCCGAGGGGCCGCAGAGAAGGTTAGATGGGAAGGACGTGAATGCTGAATGCTCGCAGCAAAAGGCGCACCTTGAAAGGGACAAAAAAGAAGAGTGCTGAGCATGGAGATACGTGGGGACTGCCACTATACTTGGCCATGCTTTTCAACCTCGGGTTACATTTAGCTTAGTACTGTAGGGCTTACCAAGGCTGACTTATCAAGCCAAATCTGGGCTGGAATCGAGGGCCTCGACACAGATGTCGCATTTTGGAAGTGTCGAGTCGAGGGCTTCGATTCAAGCTTTGAGGGTATGGAATCTGTAGCGACGTGCAAACAGGCACAGGTGGCCAAAAACAAAAAAAATGAATATTCCTCAGAAACACACACACACACACACACACACACACACACACAGAGACAGACACACAGACAGACACACAGACAGACACACAGACAGACACACAGACAGACACACAGACAGACAGACACAGACAGACACAGACAGACAGACAGACAGACACACACACACACACACAGACAGACAGACAGACAGACAGACACACACAGAGACACAGACAGACACACACCCACACACACACACACAACACACAGAGACACACACACGAGAGACAGACACCCAGACACACACACACAGACACACACAGACACACACAGACACACACACAGACACACACAGACACACACATACCACACACAGACACACACAGACACACACAGACACACACAGACCACACAGACGCACAGCGACACCGCACAGCGACACACCGCACACAGCGACACACACCGACACACACCGACACACACCGACAGACACACACACACACACACAGACACACACAGACGCACAGCGACACGCACCGACACGACACCGACACACACCGACACACACCGACACACACACCAACAGCACACACACACACACACACACACACACACACACACACACACACACACACACACACACACCACCCCACACCCACACACCCACACACACACACACACACACCCACACCCCCCACCCAGCCACGCACCACGGCAACGCACGCACTCACGCACGCACGCACGCACGCACGCACCGCACGCACGCACGCACGCACGCACCCCCCCACCCACCCCCCACCCACCCACCCACCCACACCACCCACCCCCACCCACCCACCCACCCACGCACCCACACACTCACACACACACACACACACGCACCCACACGCACCCGCGCCCGCACCCGCACCCGCAACCGCAACCGCACCCGCACCCGCACCCGCACCCACACTCACCTACCCACCCACCCACTCGCGCGCGCTCAGAGCCACAAAACTCGGAAAAGACACGCAGTGTAAATGCCTCACTTGGGTGTGCCTCAGTCCCAGACCGGGCCAGGCGGGCCGCGCTGAATTTTAATATCGACCGTACTGCGCACTTCACACCTAATACACAGCACGCTGTGATCCTCTGCAAGCTCTGCGTAAAAGTCGACGAGCTCTTCTAGCGACTTCTGCTTTCCCGCTTCAACCTGCAGAAAATGTGGAAGATCCAAGCTGCAACGAAGAGTGGCAAGGCGATGCAAGGCACTGTGAGGCATCCCCGCTTCGTAAACACCCTCTTCTTCTCGCCAAGCCTGGCACTCATCAAAGCACAGGAAGTGTTGCGCTCTAAAATCTGTGCGAAAACGCCTCCTCCGCATTGACAATGAGCAATCCATGCACCTTGCACGTATTCGCAAACAGCTAGCTTATGCTCGTCTCCAGAATGTGCAACTGGGTCCTCACGTTCATGCGCGACTTACACTCGTTCGCGCCTTGGACGAATCCGATGCAAGAGCTGACTCCAAAGCCTTCTGAGCAAGCTGAAGTGTGGTCGCCTAGGTGGGCATGCTGCCAAACATTCTGATGAGACAGCAACGACGACTCTGAGAGGCTTGCAAGGCCACCAGGCAGGGCATAAGACTTGCCATCGACCACTAGTGCCGCAGTTGTCTGACAGGAGTTGCAACAGACCATCAACGTCTGGATGGCTTTCGACCAGCTGACGCGCTGTCTTAGGTCCGGCCTTGTCAGCCTGCAATGTTTTCATAACTTCGGCTTTGGCACTTTTCAGTACCTGGGACGAAATCCAAGCTCGCGAAAGGAATGAATTCATGTACAGGACCTGATTTATCAACGCTAGTTGCACCTTGTAAGAAAATTGTCACAACCCTCGCGATCCAGCATTGTAGGCCAACCACACCCAACAGTAGAACAAGCTGTTGTCGAGCGTTCTAGCTTATTTGAGCACTTCATCGAAAGCCTCTCAGCAGCGTATTACAATGTATTACAAGAAGCCTCGCTGTCACGCACTGCAACACGACATGATTGGAGCGATTGGAGCCCGGCCTCGAAAAGCCTTGCAAGCCAGCCAAAGGAGAGCTGGCCACCATCAGCTGCCTCGGCCTTGGCAAACCCAAGTCCAGCTCAAGTCCCTGTGCCCGGGTCCCTGAAGAGACTTCCGAATTCAGCAGCCGCCACACCGGTCCCGTAACAAAATGGGCTGGAGGCACAGCTTTAAGCCCCGCAGAAAGCCGCGTCCATCTGTAGACGAAATGAGCGAACACGAGATGGTCTGAGGATGCATCCAGTGCCATGGGCGACACAGCCACGCAGCAGCGTAAGGAAGTAGGTGTCACAACCTGGGAGTTGCCCGGTAAGATGGTCGACAGAGCTATAAGTGCAACATCAGCAAGAGAAGGCGTTGGCTCGGTGATGTTCATAATTGCTCTGCGGATCGACTTAAGAAGCATTTCGTGTCTTTCTTTCAAAATGCAACTCTCATCCAAGACGTGTCGCGGAATGCGTACAGTTGGGGTGGGGGGCGGGGGTGGGCACCGCCTCATGTCCAACAAGACGTAAGGCTCCCCATGCACGAGATGGGCAAGTGATCCAGCATTCTCGTTGCGAACTTGCTATCGCACCTCTTGATGGACCCCCGGGCGTATTCCCAAAAGCTGTCAAAATGTATGCCATATATATATATATATATATGTGGTACCCCCCCCCCCGGTACCTAGGTCTCCGTTTGAGTGAAAGTGCTGCACTGTCCCTGAAAAACCAATCCCAGAAGCCGAAAATGCCGTACTGTCCCTAAAAAAGCACCTAAAAACCAATTCTGGTGGCCTGCGCAGACAGGCCCTCTTCCAAAGATTGGTTTTTTAGGGACAGTACAGCACTTTCATGCCTCAGGCCTTCAAAGTGCCCTAAAAAAACAGCAATCCCACAAGCAGAAAGTGCCGCACTGTCCCTAAAAAACCTAAAAAACCAATTCTGGAGACCTATGCAGACAGGCCCTCACGAAAAGATTTGTTTTTAGGGACAGTACAGCACTTTCAGCACCTCAAGCCTTCAAAGTGCTGCACTGTCCCTAAAAAACCAATCTTTGGAAGAGGGCCTGTCTGCACGGGCCTCCAGAATTGGTTTTGTATAGGCACAGTACAGCACTTTGAAGGCCTGAGGTGCTGGTATTGCTGTACTGTCCCTAAAAAGCCAATCTTTAGAAGAGACCTGGCTGTACAGGCCCCCAGTATTAGTTCGTGAGAGTACAGTTTGTCCGGAAAGCAAGCGAATCAATCATATTCAACTATGTCTAAGGACCGTGACTTAGATATTAAGCTTCATTGAATTGATTTAGTTAAGGGTCGATTAATTCAATTCATTTATTTGACCCTTCAGTAAGAAATTAAGCGATTGGAATCCCTTAACTAAGTCAACTTCAACAAAACTTGTTTACCGCATCGTGATTGGATTGGCTCATTTCAATAGACATGAATTTATTTGACCCTTAAATAACTATATTCAGCCTGTGAAATTACGTTAGCCAAGTTGAGAATACGTACTTATCTTCACTGACTTCTTCATTGAACTCATTTAGTCAGTCAGCTTCTGAGCTTAAAGTCATGTCCTTAACACGTCAGAAACTAATCAAACTATTGACACTACTTGAATTAAATTAATTTCAAGAAACAACAAGCCCTTCGTTAAATTAAGTACTCTGTGTGTGTGTGTGTGAAAACAATCAATGAACAGATTTTCGCTAATCAAATTCATGCTTAAATGAAGCAAAACTACAAGCATGTTTTACTTAATGTAGCACACTAGAACATTTGATTAATCTCACTAGTGGTTCATTAAATTTAATGAATTGATTACTTCGAGGTGGGTGAAAACATCATTTCATCTAATTCAAATTAAGTATTAACGAAATAAAGGCTTGTAATTTAGGTAATTCAATGTAGTAAAATCACCCTTGCCGCGCTTTCGCCCACGTGCATGGCAGCATCATCCACTCGATGGTCTTCCGGCACGTGTTCGTTAATGTGATGCAGAAAGCTAACTTTTTGCAGTAAAACCTAGGCGCCGGGGGGGTAGCATATATATATATATATATACGGTGCAGCGTCGCTGCCCCCCCCACCCCATGGTCACCCCCCCCCCATGCCCCCCCCCCCCCCCCCCAAAAAAAAAAAAAAATCTTTCCTTCCCCGCCCGCCCCACTGTGGTTTGGGCCTATGTTTTGGGTTTAAGGTTTTAGGTTTAAGGGTTTTAGGGTTTTAGGGTTTAGGGTTTAGGGTTTAGGGTTTAGGGTTTAGGGTTTAGGGTTTAGGGTTTAGGGTTTAGGGTTTAGGGTTTAGGGTTTAGGGTTTAGGGTTTAGGGCAAAAGTGTGAAGACATGCCCACCCCGAGGCCACCCAAACAACACTCATCACGAAACCAAACCGGAGCCAGCCAAAGCCAAGCCAGCCAAAGCCAAGCCAGCCATTCAAATCTCACATATCGAAAGATAAAACACTGCGAAAGCTTGGGATATGTGCGAGTCGTGAACACTTGCCGAACTTGAGGCGAGCTGTTGGCGATTTCTTGGGGGGGTCACTTGGGAACAGTGGCTGATTGGGGCACTAGGAAGTCGGAGATCATCTGGGGCCAGAAGGCAGCATGTCGAGCACTGCCTGGGACTACTTTGAGGGGGTGCCAAGGGTGTCCCTTGACTTCGGAGGTCATTCGGGGGCACAAGGCAAAGGATCCCCCCCCTCTGGTTTTGCGCAGGGGACGGTCTGGGCCGAAGGGCCCTCTCACAGAAAATTCAGGGCGTGAAGAGTCTGCAGGTTTTGCAAGAATCCCCCCCACGCCGAAGTTCACTTGGCCAGAGTCACTAGAGCGGTCAAAGCGAGGGGTCGGACCTTTCAGGGTTTAAGACCCCCCTGCTTACTGGCCTGGCTTGGACATTTGCGTAAAAGCCCCCCCTAGGTCATAGCAAGGGTTTAAGGCCAGGGCCAGGGACAGGGCCAGGGCAGGCCAGGGCCAGGGCCAGGGCCAGGGCCAGGGCCAGGGCCAGGGGCCAGGGGCGGGGCAGCAAGGCCAGCAGGCAGCAGGGCCGGCCAGGGCCAGCAGGGTCAGCAGGGGCCAGCAGGCAGGGCCAGCCAGGAGGGGCAGCAGGCCAGCAGGGCCAGCAGGGCCAGCAGGGCCAGCAGGGCCAGAGCCAGGGCCAGAGCCAGGGCCAGGGCCAGGGCCAGACCAGGGGTAGGGGGGCCAGGGCGCCAGGGCCAGGGCCAGGGCCAGGGCCAGGGCCAGGGCCAGGGCCAGGGCCAGGCCAGGGCCAGGGCCTGACCGGTCAGGGCCAGGGCCAGGGCCAGGGTCAGGGCCAGGGTTGCCAGCAATTGAAAAAGGATCCCCCTCGGGTACTAATATTTATCTGAGACGAGCTAGGCGACTCTAGCTAGGCGACCCTCTCAGGAGTGTGCCTGGCAGGCTCTGCAGCCCAGCAGAGCCTGCCGTGGTCTCGCTGAGCGCTCGACTGCGCCCGCCTACCCCAACAGAGATGAGAGGGGTGGCGGGCGGGTTTAGGGTTTAGGGTTTTTAGGGTTTTTAGGGTTTTTAGGGTTTAGGGTTTAGGGTTTAGGGTTTATAGGGTTTAGGGTTTAGGGTTTAGGGTTTAGGGTTTATAGGGTTTAGGGTTTAGGGTTTAGGGTTTAGGGTTCAGGGTTTATAGGGTTTAGGGTTTAGGGTTTATAGGGTTTAGGGTTTAGGGTTTAGGGTTTAGGGTTTAGGGTTTAGGGTTTAGGGTTTAGGGTTTAGGGTTTAGGGTTTAGGGTTTAGGGTTTAGGGTTTAGGGTTTAGGGTGTGCCAAGCCTGACGCGCGGCTGCCTGCTGCCCGCCCGACCCTCCCGGTGTTCGTTGTGTAATCAATTTTTCTTCTTTTCTTTTTTCTTACCCCCTTCTCTGAATTACAATCACGTCGCGCGGAAGTTGAGTTGTAGCCGAAGGATGCAACTTAACTTGCGCGCAGATGTTTAAGAAACAAAAATTGGAGAAACCGGAAAATTTTCCCGCCAGAACAAAAGATTGTGGGTCTAGATTGTTTCCCTCGGGGCAGGGTCCGGGTTTTACGTGAGACTACCTGGCTGCCGCCAGCAAAACAAAGCCGCCGCTTCCCCTCAGAAGAGACCAACCAACATGCACGCTCTTGATCCCGAAACTGTCCGGGAGGAGCCCAAAAAGGCCCAGAAACTGTCCGGGAGGAGCAGAAACCGTCCGGGAGGAGCCCAAAAAAGCTCAGAAACGACGAGCCGACAGAAACGCGAAACCGTTTGGGAGGGGCCCAAAAAGCCAAAAAGGCTCGGAAACTGTCCGGGCCCAACAAGCTCAGAAATTGTCCGGGAGCTTAAAAAGGTCCGGGAGCCCAAAAAAGCGCCGGGAGGAGCCCCCAAAAGGCTCAGAAACTGTCCGGGAGGAGCCTGCAGAAATTGTCCAGGAGGAGCAAGGCTCGGTTTTGGTCAAATTGTAGAAAACGAGTCCCCACCCAGAACCGTCGACTTCAGTACTAAAAAAAATCGCGGCCGGGGGGCCCGGGGGGCCCGGGGGGGGGGGCGATTTCAGGCAGACCAGGAAGTTTGGTAGGCAATCGCCCAGGCTGACCTGCCTTGCGGCCCTACTGGTCCCGGGACACGCTCCGGCAGGGTCCGGCTCCAGGGGGCTCCAGAGGGGGGTCCCAGGGGACCACCTGCAGAAGCCCATTTTGGGACCAGGTCGCTAGGTTTAGGGTTTCTT